GCAGCTTTCCAGATGTTTACTGACAGGAAAGGGTACCTTCTATTGATTTTGTGTCACCATTAAAGAAAAAAAGAACAACAAATGATCTGGAGGGAAATTAAAGTACAGTTGACATCAACAAAGGCACCCTAGACAATGTGATAGTCTAATGAATAGAATAAGCTGAGAAACAAAATAGAAACAGTCTCATAGATAGAGAGAAGAGACTGACAGCTGTCAGAGGGGAGAGGGGCTGGGTGGCTGGATGAAAAAAGGGAAGGGATTAAGCAGGAAAAAAAACCCCTCATAAATACAGACAACAGTATGGTGATTACCAGAGAGAAAGGGAGGGTAGGGGAAGGTAGAAGAAGGTTAAAGGGAGACAAAAAATGACTGGAAGGAGACTTTACTTGGGGTGGTGAACAAACAATACAATATACAGATGATGTAGCCTAGAATTGTACCCCTGAACCCTATATAATTTTTAAAAGATTGTATTTATTTTATTTTTAGACAGAGAGGAAGGGAGAAAGAAAGAGAGGGAGAGAAACATCAATGTGTGGTTGCCTCTCACGCGCCCCCCACTGGGGACCTGGCCTGCAACCCAGGCATGTGCCTGACTGGGAATCGAACTGGTGACCCTTTGGTTTGCAGTCTGGTACTCAATCCCCTGAGCCACATCAGCCAGGGCTGAACTCTATATAATACTATTAACTAATGTCACCCCAATAAATTCAATTAAAATATGTGATAGTCCATGTGCCAGACTTTGGAATTGTAGGCTGCCACCTGTAAAAAGCTTAGGGTTGGAGGCTACCTTCACCCCCCACTGCAGGCTGCATTAATCTCATCGACGTCAATCCTGCTGAGACAGAACAACGATGGTGCTTCTTTAGAAGAAATACAAGTTTTCCTTACTCCTTCTAGACAAATGAGCCACCTCACTGTCCTCTGCCACGTCAGCTGTGGTGCTGGAATGATCCAAATCATAGACAAGTTTGGGTCCCAAAGAATGTCTTATAGTTTCTAAGCAGAATCTACATGAAATGTTGGTTCCAAAATGGAAAATGCAGATATCACAAAATGTGTTCATTCCTCATTTGTTTGTTTGTTTGTTTAGCATTCACTGAATGTTAGAGTCATTGGATTTTAGAGATGAAAAGATCTGGCCCAGTCTTTAAAGAACTTGAGGGTCAAGTGGAGAGACAGGCAGGCAAATATAACCCTGATAAATGCTAAAACAGGATCATGTATTAGAATCTGGAAATGTAGAAAAGTAAATACCTAATTCTGTCTGGGTAAGGCAGGGAAAGGGACATTGAAAATGCCGGGTACAGGCGCCAGGGGCAGAGGGCACAGTGTATGTGATGACACAGAGGTATGAACACGGGGCTGAAGACAAATGGCACATGAAGGGAGCATAGGAGACTATGAGGCTAGATGGGCAGGAGAAAACGAACTCATGAAGCGACCTGTGTGCTCTGCTATAATTTGAATATGTTGTCTTATAGAAAAAGGAAAACATTGAAAGATTCTAAACTGGGGGGTGACATTTATAGAAAAGCCACTCTGGCACCATTTGTTGGCTGCTGGCATAAGCCGAGAAGCAGGGGCATTTGTTGAAAACCTAGTCATCTCAACTGGCAATGATGAGGCACTCCTACAGAGGAGTAGATGAGCTGGGGTCTTGTTATGAAGAGAAGGGCAATCTGGCGATAATATGTAGAAAGCATGGGCATGAGAGAACCCAGAAACATGTATATTAGAGTAATTGAAGTAAAAAGTGATGAAAGCCTGGATTAAGGCATTGGCGGTAAGAATGGAAAACGAGATTTAAACAAAATTGATTGAGTTTGAAACAACGGGGAGTTGTGGGTCAAAGCCTACTCAGATTTCAGGCCTGAAGGACTATAAATGTAGTAGTGGCAATGAAAAAGAGAAGGTGATTAACTCTATACTGAAAATGTTGAGTTTGAGGAATCAACGAGACATCATTGTGGTTGGCATCCATCAAGTCAGGAAATTCATCAGAGGAGAAGTAGATTTGAGAAGATACATGCAGAGGTCTTATTTTATTGGAAGTGAATGAGGAAAAGAATGAGAGTAAAAAGAAGGCTTAGGACAGAACTGCATACAATGCTGTGTCCAGAGTGCAGAGAAAGCAGAACTGGTTGGGGGAGTAGGATGGGCAGAGGAGGGCAAAGAGGAGGAAACTGGGAAAACTGATAGAATAACAATAAAAAATCATTTAATAAAAATAAATAATCTTAACTAAATAAAATTCAAAAAAAATTAAAAGTAAGAAACGAAGATCCAATCTTCCTCAAAACCAAGAGGGCAATTTTAGAAAGAAAATGATGGTTCCCAAAGCCAGTTGCTGCAAAGTGGTTAGAGGAGATGAGGCCATTCATTTTAACAATCAGGAAGTCATCTGTGAGAATAGTTTCAGGAAAGGGTGAGGGGAGAAGCCAAACTTTAAGCCATTTAGAATCAGTACGAATCATAGAGAGAGGTCAGAAAGCGAGGGTAGTGAGTAGGAAAGTTAGAAAAAGTGGGAAGAAAGATTTTATGGCACAAAATCACAGGAGTAGAAAGGAATAGTATCAGAAATACTTAAGAGTGAGCCTGGAAATGGAAAGAATGATGCAGCCTCCTAAAGCAGGGAAGTAAAGAGAAAGGACAGATGATGGTACAGAGCAGCGTTTTTCATCAGCACGCCGGTGGCACACTGGTGTCCCGCAAGAATGTTTAAAACATGCAGTACCTGACTAAGTCAGGGACACTGACCTCTTTTCCCTTAGATGGTCAAATAAAAAAATAACAACAACCAGCACAACACTAGCCATCTGGTGTGAATGAATTAAAGTTATACCTATATTTGTCAGATTGGCAAAAATAATAATAATAATAATATACTTTTTGATGTGCCACAGAACTTTAATGATTATTTTATGTGTGGCATGAAATGAAAAAGGGTGAAAATTTCTGATACAGAGAAATCAAGGTGGAAACAATGTTGTTTAAGGAAGTCTTGTCAAACGGTTATATCTTTTTAGTCTTGTAGGAAATAGAGTCAAGTTTGACCCTGGTAAGGGTAAAAATGTTTGAGACATCCTGTAAGGAATCTAATAAGGTGCCAAAATATTACAAAGCAAAAGACCCCCGGGACCCACAGAGTAATGAGAATTTGTCATGACTTTCTCTACTACCCCTAAGCAACTTAGTAGCAGCAGTGGAGTTAACTGGGCATTACCAAAAGGTACAGAGAATAGAAAAATCGCATGAGGTTTCAGAGTCTCTGATACTAGCAGATGCATCACTGAAGTGGTCACTAGGAGTTCAGCTGGAGTGTGGAGGGAAATGATGCTCATAAGAGGCAATGGATAAGGACAATGGCCTTCAAACTGCCTTCACCAGATTCTCCCATGAGGGAGGAGTAGGCCTGGGGGTCTCATTCCTACAACTGCACTAGCTCTGTTTTTATCTGAAATATAAAGGCATACCTTCTATGCTTTCATTTAAAGGGGGAAAAGCTGTTGCTAAAATTATTGTTTGAAAACCGCTATACTTGGAGACAGGTGAGAGGAAACAGGGCTGGAAGTTATGAAGAGTAGAAAATTAGATCACAGAGACTGCAAGAGGTGGCTAGTAAAGTTATGTGATCAACAAGTATTCAGATGCTGAGATTTTGGAGCTCTACCCATTTTGAAAGATGGGGCACAGCACAGGGCTCTGCCGGCAGGGAGCCGGCGTAGGGTGGAGCTGCCAGGACTGGGAGAGCTGAAGAACCGTTCATCCAGCCCATTAAAGATTATTACCATGGTGTCAAAGATGCTTGGGACAAGGCAAAGCTACGGGTTAGAGGAGAGAGATGAAGAGCCAAGTCCTGAAGGCAGTGAGGAAATGGGGGAGGGGTGACTTTTGTAAATGTAGGAAACTATGGAGATGAGACAAAGCAGAAATGAGTACAGAATATGGAGCTATAAATAGGAGCGGTTTGAGATTTAAAAAGAAAAAGAAGCACTGCACAAGGAAAGCAAGGAGTATTAGAAACCCTTCTCTCTCTTTGCCCCATGCAGGGAGAGTGGAGGACAACAACTTCTGTGTGGAAAGGGGTTTGAGGTACATGATGCCATCAGGTTTCAAAGAAAGGATCAGAAGACCCTTTCTGTAGGAAGTGACAGTCCAATAGAGAGCCCTGAGGACAGAGCGCTTGCTCACAGAGAACAGAGGAGACGGAGGTCCCGGTGGGCAGCACTGAGAGGAAGGCGTCCAGGAGCGGAGCAGCCGCTCAGGATGTGGGCTGAGGATAGGAACAAGACAGAGATGTATTCCTGGGAGCTTAGCAGTGAGTCAGAGGAACAAATGAAACAAGAGATTAGAAAGTAGGTTGGAGACCCAGTGGGAAGAAACAAGGACTGAAGAGAGCAAATTTGAGAGACGTGTAGCATTTAAACAATTCCATCATGCCAGCCCAATGCTAGATTAAGGTCGATGACCAGCACTTCATCCCCACTCTTGGAGCGAGACTTTGATCACTTCTTCAAAGCTGGAGGTTAGAATGTTTGTAAAAAGCTGAAATCTTAGACACAGATGGCTAAAGTGGGAAAAGCACTAGACCGGTTAGCCTAACCCCCCTTTTTCTAGATAGAAAAGAGAAATGACTCATATACACTGGGTGCTCAGCAGCAGAGCCAGGACCAGAACCCAGGGACCCTGGCCCTGACCCTGGGGCTATCCTCTTCCTACAGTGCCCACAACTGTCCCTAATATGGAGGTACGTAAGAGGAGGAGGCTACCCTGGTAGTGGGACTGAAATGTGACTAGTACCGCACATGCACCTTGCATCTTGTTCATGCATCTGGTTCAGCTCTGGCTACATGTATTGCCAGAAGGTCAAAGTATAACCTGTCAGCATTGCCAGTGAGCTGTTTTTCAGAGACATGATCTGTTTCAGAAATGCTGGTGTCCCCGGTGCTTGCATCAACCTAAAGTATTCTTTTCTGTGTTTGTTCCTCTAGTGTCTTTAGCCTCCAGCACCGTGGGCTTGGCTGGGCAGGTGGTTCACACAGAAACCACAGAGGTTGTGCTGACAGCAGACCCTGTCACAGGATTTGGGATCCAACTGCAGGGCAGTGTGTTTGCCACTGAGACTCTCTCCTCGCCACCTCTCATATCCTACATTGAAGCCGACAGCCCAGCAGAGAGGTGAGACACCTTTCACAGCACCTTTTCCTGCTCTCTATTTCTTGCGCTGGCTGCCTGTGGACAGCTAGTGAATTATGGGACAGTGCTCAATGCAGGAAACGTAAGATGTAATGAACTCTGTGTTCTGACAATAAAATTTTATGTTCTTGATCAGTTTTGAGAAGAATAATGAGCATGGATGCCTTTATCTAGCAGACTTTTATCCACTGGGGACTAGAGACCATATTAATTAAAAGGAAAAGATCTATTAAAAAATCTCTAAGCTCAAACTTTAATAATTTCTCTGCCATGGGGCAATGTACATTCATCATTACTGTATGTTGGTTCAGATCAGATTAGAACAATACCAAGGTGCTGAATTATTAATCACTTTGCTGGGAGAGTTCAAGATTTCCTTGTTCTCATGTGTAGCCATGAGATGCAAGAGTGTAAGACACTGCAGTTGACCTAATGTGATTCTCACAGCATTGAATAAACAAGGGCTATCTACAACTTCTAACATGTGATTCTAAATTCAGATGTGGGGTACTACAGATTGGAGACAGAGTGATGGCCATTAATGGAATTCCAACTGAGGATAGCACCTTCGAGGAAGCCAATCAGCTCCTCCGAGACTCTTCAATCACAAGCAAGGTCACACTGGAAATCGAGTTTGATGTTGCAGGTATGATCATATAATCGCGAGGCAGCTGCTGAGTCAGGAGTGGACTGCATGTGAATTATATGGATTATGTGGCAGAAATAGAGCTATTTCTTATATGCTGACATGCTTTTGTTCAGGAGATTTGGGGTGTCATTTTGAGGTGAGCATTGTTGTTGTATTATTCATTAAAATGTTACCACTAGAACAGTTGAAAATAAATGTGACAAAACAAAAAGTAATAGCCACGATAAAGGTGATAAAAAAATCATGTAGCCTTTATTCTTCTTGACTCTCTCCTATATGCTAGAGAAACCATATTCTTCAGTCACACAGATAAGAAAAAGCCTCTCTTTAACCCTTCCCACTGCAAAGAACATAAGGTTTGGAGGGTAACAATGAAAATTCATTAAATGGATTTATACGAACCCATAGGTTACTGTTTGGTGTCTGGTATGAAAGAGAAATTGTACCAGACACTTGTTAAGAAGAAAGACTTAATTCAAGACCATTGCAAGAGAGATCAAGACTTGCAATAGAAAAGAGAGATTGAATTCAACTCCAAACACAGCAAAGACAGCCAGGAATTTCTAGCTAGCAGGCAAGGTGAGGGTGGATGGGAAATTACTAAGAGGAACTTGATAGTAATGGAGAAGGGATGAGGAATTTAATTCAAGGATGGAGATATCCTTGATAAATGAAGTTAGCACAAGGCTTGCTAAAAGAGCTCAGCGGGTCAAGGACTAGGGCAAGGACAAGTCCTAGTCAAGAGGAGGGCCAGAGGAGCCTAAATTTGGTCATAAAGGGAGTCTTTGTCAGTAGCTAACATTTGTACACGTTTTAAAGGTCGGTGCAAGTTTCCATTTAAGAAAATTGTCTTCACAGAGTGAAATAGTACCTCACAGAGCCAATAACCTTTCCCAATCATACAGATAAGCTTTTGGACATGGGGATTGCATTATCCCTACAAATATTTGCTGAATATTTACCATGGGCCAATTTCTTTCCCATACAATGGAGGTGCACCAGTAGACAGGAAAGAAAAAAAAAATCCCTGTCTTAATGAAGATTATATTATCTGTACAGAAAGTTAATTTTTAAATTTACAAGTATAAATTAAGACAATAATAGAAAATAAAGCAGAATGGGGGTTAGAGACTGACTGTGCGGGAGCTATTTTCGTAGGACGACTCTCTAAGGGAGTGGCATTTGAGCAGAGATTTGAAGCTTGAGAAGGAGCCAGCCATGTGAGAACCTGGGAGGAGAGAATTCCAGGCAGAGGGAACAGCCAGAGTAAAAGACACAAACCAGAATAATGAGCTTGGTGAGTTTGGGAAGCAGCAAAAAGGGTTCTTGTTAGAGGATATAAGTGAGCTGGGGCTGGGAATCAGATTTGGGTATAGAGATGGGGTGGGAGAGGTTGGAAAGGAACCAGTAATGAAGGGCCTTGGTAAAGAATTTGGACTGTATTCCAAGCGCAATGAAGTCAAGAAGCATTTTATGGAAGGGAGCGAGATAACCTAACGAATGTTTTAGAGATAGTCTTCTGAGGTGAGAAGAAACAATAGCAGCAGCGGAGAAAGAAGCAGAAAAGCCAGTGAGGAGGTGGTGGCAGTTGGACAGGTAAGAAATAATGATGGCTTGGACAAGGTGATGGCTTGAACAAGGTGGAAATTAGTGCTAGAGATGGTGACAAATAGTGAAAATGAGGCCATGGCTAACAGAACCTACTTATGGAGTAGATATGGGAGATGAGAGAATGACAGATCATGGACGACTCCTCAGGCACAAGCACCAGCAGCTGCGTATGTACTGATGTCTAACTGAGAGGAAGCCTTGAAGAGTAGGAATTTGGGGATGACAAAGCTTCTGTTTTAGACATAAGCAGGTAAGTCCACCACCAAAGCTAGGGAAAAAGGGCAAGCACATTCATTCAAAAGACAACTATCGAGCACCAGGTACTCAGTGCTAGGCACTGTCATATATTCGGATCGTTGAAAAAGGAAATAGAAAGGATTAATATCTTCAAGGAGCTCATAACCAATTAGACAAGAGCAAGAACTGCTAGAATAGACTTACTAAATGTGTGTTGCCACCAAAATGCCAAAAGAAGTGCCCAGGAGACTGCAGGTAGCACCCCCTGGAGCTAGGATCAGGCCTGGGCTAGAGAGCAGGACTGAGGAGAGACCACCACGTCAGCAATTGTTGAGGTCATTGTAATGAGGAGACCGCCAAGGAAAGAGTCCCAGGCAGAAAGGACTCTGCCTAAGGAGTACTAAGATTTAAAGGGGAAGGATGATAGCAAAGGGGCTGATGAAGATCTACTATGAGAAGTGGGAGGAGAACCAAAAAAAAAAAGGTGGCATTTTGGAAGCCAAAGCAAGAGGGTCAAGGCAAAAGTCATGGTCAATGGCGGAATGGTGCTGTAAAGAATTCAAATAATATAAGGCAGGAAATGTCCACTGGGTTTGGCAATTAGGAAGACTGACATTGCAGAATAGTTTCTGCAAACTGGAGGACAGAAGTCAGGCTGTAGTGAGCTGAGGAGTGAGTGAGGGCAGGGTGGAATACAGACGAGCTGTGCTTGCTGTCTGCCAAGGCATTGGTGTTTGGAAGAGGGTTTGGCAGGAAAAATGCAGTGAATGGATAGAAGGGACTGGAGGACACTGTGCGCTCCTGTTTTTAGAACTTTGCAGCATTTAGTTGTATACCTGATGCTCTATTGTATATTGCCTTATCTTTTTATCAGTGGTTCTTAACCAAGATCAGTTTTGTTGCAGGGCACATTTGACAATGTCAAAAAATTTAGCTGTAGATGAAAGAAAACTGGACAACAGGTAGAGGGGAATTCAGAGTTCAGAAGGGTGTTAATTTGTTTTGTTGCTTTGTTAAGATTAGAGAGAGATTTGAACACGTTTGGGCTTAAAATGAATGGAGAAAGGAGATAATTGGTGAAATTGGCTCCCCAAAGGGATGAAAAGGGAAGTTATCGAGAATATGGGTGGATAACTAGTCTAAGAAAGTAGAAGACCTCTTCCTATGAGATTGAGGAGAAAAATGTGAGAATGTTAACACATTTTTAGCTGTGATTAGGAAGACCCTGTAAGAACTAGAGAGCAAGGGTGAGAGGGTCAGCATTTTGGGACGTTGAAAACAATGATGAAGGTTTAGCATTGCTAATGGGGAAATCAGTGAGGAAATTAACCAGACTCATGTAAAGGGATTTTTCAAGCTGGATGGTGGGCCAAGCAGAGTCCAGAAGCTCCAACCTGCATGGTCAAGTTTGGGCTTGTATGTCTTTTTTGTTTGTTTATTTGTTTTATTAGGAGACCTCAGCTGCTGAGTAATAAGAGCAGAGATGGTAGATGATTAGATTGAGACAAAGATTAAGATTTCCGGAAAAGCTTCAACAGAAGGAGAACTTAAGTTACAGAGGTTCAAAGTGTTGCAGGAAGAGCAGGTTAATAATTATCATAATAGCATCAAAATGATCCTGATAATATTTATCAAATGCTTACTCTATGGCATGTCCAAGTGTATGTGTCCATTAGTTCACTTAATCCAATAACAACAATGAAGATTACTATTATTACATCTCCAGAATAGGAGGCCCATGTAGTTACAGGTAGAGGTGGGATTTTAACCCAGGCAGTCTGGCTCTAAAAGCCACACTCTAACCACTACACACACTGCCTGTGTTTGCAGATGTCTAGGTTGGAGAGGGATGGAAATTTATAAAAGATCAGCCTGATAGACTGGAAAGAAAGAGAGTATTTAAGTAACTGGGAGTTTTCAAGAAGAAAAATGGGTCTAGCGAGGGAAAGTTGATATTGAGGTCAAAAAGTATATTAGAGTTTAGGATTTTTGAGAAGGTCAAGGAAAGGTAGTGAGTTGCTGGAGCAAATATTATTCAGCCAGAGGTCTGGGCATTGGGAATGCAGTGCGGTGGAATGACCATCCACACAGTGAGGTCTCTCAGGAGGGCAGCACTTGGAATGAGGAAGGGGGTAAGAACTAGGTGCTCTTGTCATAACAAGCACAACCCCCTCAAAGAATGTCTGCAGTTGGGGTTTCCTCTTCCTGGACAGCGCTTCCCCAACATGTTCAAATGGTTTGCTCACTTCACTCAAATGTGGTTTGCTCAGAGAAGCCTTCCCTGGTCATCTATCACTCTCTGTCCCCTTGCCCAGATTTATGGTTCTTAGCACTTCGCAAACTCTGATGCTATGTGGGACATTTATTTGTTTATTGTCTTCTTTTCTCCAGTAGAAAAATTTATGATGTCAGGGACATTATGCCTTTTATTCATGAATGTACTTCAAAATAGTAATTGGAATGCAAGAAGCTCTCTGCCAGTAGTTGGTGAATGCATATATGCATGAATGAATGAATGGATGGATGGATGATGTTCAGTTGGCTTCCTTGAAGGCCTCACATCAGGAATTTCAATTTGCATGAGGAACTGATTTCACATCCACTGTTTTCTGGGACTCCTGGTCTCTTGGTGCTGCTTGTTTCTGCTTATCTGCTCCATTTGTCTCTGTACAAACTTTCTCTGATTTTTAATTGTATATGACTGTTTCATCTTTGCTAAAGTATCCAGCCAGCAGCAGCCAGTTCTGATTTCTAATTCCCAAGAGAAAGAATCTAACTGGCCCCACTAAGATTTGGTATCCTCTGCTTTTAGTTAGCTGTGGGCAACTAAATCTAGCAAAAATCTAGTAGAAGGACCCTATAAGGATCAGTCAGATGGCAGTGAGGGCATGGTTTTCAAACAAGGCTATCCAGAGGCCTCAGAAAATCCTCACTACAATCTCAGATCATTAGTGATGAAGGGGCTCATAATCCAGTACCTTCATTTACTTGTAAATGAGGGAACTGGGGTTCAGGTGGGGAAACTCAAAGTCATACAGCAAAGTGAGTAGTAGATCCCAGATCTGTTAAAGTGCACCTCTCTTTTCCATCACATATTCCACTGCTCTGCAAAGAGATGTTAGAGTTTCCAGCATGAAACAGTTGGCTTT